AGTGACTGAAAAGAGTTGGGAAGCACAGGAGCGACAGAGCCGAAGTCAAAGCCTTGGGGCTAACTTCCTTCACTCTTTATTTATTAAATTGGCAACAACACACAGGAGCTCCTCTTTATTCCTGAGAAGCTGCAGTCTTTATTCACCAGCCTCTGTAACTTCTACTTTTCCATTACTGCTGAACAAGGTGCTGGCCCGTTTCTCTCTATTCACCGGGGCTCTGTTCACACCGGTTCACACACGTGCTCCGTCTATTTCTCCTCTACCGCACACATACTGACTGCTGCGGCTAAGCTAACCAGCTGGGATCATCACAAACATGACAACAGACAGACAAGACAGTAATACTGAAGCTGTCGTTTATGTGGAACAGCAAAACTAACGTTACTCACCTGTCCAGCAGAAACAGAGCAACCTCAGCATCGGTTTTCATTCCTTTCTAATCTCGTATATTTATCCAGCATTGAACCCCCTCACAGATGTTAACACGTGTCTTCCCCTCGCCTGGTCATATAACTTGTCTCACAACTTTCCAGAAGTTCCTCAGACCTTTCCCTCTGTGGCTGTTTCTCAGTCATCTTCACAGCTAAAGTCCCGTAAGAAGTCCAGCATGTTTGAACGTACCGCTGTTTGTTTACATTCTCTCTACCACTGCTTCAAGTGCGCCACCGCCACCTGCTGCTCACTCCAAGCAGACCCAGGGGCTGTGTAGGAAAACCGGAATTTTTTTTCAGAGCACGAGGAAATATTTGCCGAATTTAACAAAAACTGTTCTGGATAAGATTCGCAAAGTACCCCTTTAAATAAAACTGTTGAGGTAGTAGTGGACATCAAGTGGTTCTATTTTGTACAGGTTTCGGCCTCTAAGACTATCGCTATTGGGTTTACCCCTGCACGCGCATGTGCGGCACTGAGAAGAGCTTTGTCTTTGCCCACTTACAGCGTGTGCCTCTCCTACGTCCACACCTTGTATACACTCACATAACCAGCCACCCACCCACCCCGATTAGACCTGGCCGTCAGCTCCCATTTTTCATCAGCACTGAGCTGTCTAAAGAGCGGAACATTTACAGCCGGGAAACAAGAACGATGTCTTCTAGCAAGCCGTCCAGAATGGGGCGAGATGCCGCTAAAACTGTACTGGTGTGCGGAGTCTGCCACACGGGTTACATGGTGCCGGGGAATCTCTGTCCCCGCTGCGGGGCGTGCCTCAGACCAGAGCACGCCGGCCGAGCACACATTCCCGGTTTGCACTGCCCGTTCTGCGCCCTTCTCTCCCCTGAAGAGCGGCAGCAGGGGTGGATAGTTTTGCCGTTCAGAACGAGGAGGTGTCGCGGTCCACCCATTCTCTGGACGAAGCCCTCGATCTGCTATTGCGGGAAGAGTGGGAGTCGGCTCCCTTCTGCCTGGCGACGTATTACAGTGCCCACGATCCTTCTTTCCCCCTGCCAGGAGCAGGACTCTCCTGACCAATGGAGATCTATCTGCCAGGCCCCCCCATGGCCGGTGCCAAGCCAAGACTGTGTGTAGACATATGTAGGGCAAATGAAGCCATAGTGCGAGAAAGGCACCTATCCCCGTCATAGACGAAATACTGAAGGACATGACAGGAGCCACACATTCTGGGGGGAATCCAGGCAGCTCACCACATTCGTCACGCACAAAGGAGTTTGGTGATATAAGGGACTAATGTTTGGTATTTCATCTGCACCTGTGATCTACCAACATATCATCAGACAAGTTCATAGAGGCATTCCTGGAGTGCACAACATATCCGACGACATCATTGTGTCGGGAGCAAACATACAACATCATGATGAGAGACCACACCAAGTCCTGCAGCTGCTGCATGAAAACAGCTGACAGTCATTGCCAAAAAGTGCCAATTCCCAATGACAGAACTGGAGTTCTTGTGTCATGTACTGTCCGAAAATGGCCTTGGGGCAGCACAGTCAAAGATCGTCCAACAAATGCTTCTGAAGTCAGGAGTTTCCTGGGGCTAGTGAACTATTGTGGTAGGTTCATTCCAAATCTGGCCACAACATCAGAACCACTGAGGAGGCTTACAAGGCAAGTCTGAAAATGGACATGGGATGAGAACAGGAAACATGAGCTTGAAAAGGCAGCTGGCCAGTTCACATGTCATGGCGTATTTCAACCAGGATGCTGAAACACACATAAGAGTGGATGCTAGTCCAGTGGGATTAGGAGCGATACTGAGCCAGAAGCAAAGTGATGGAACTCACAAGCCTGTCTATTATGTCAGCCAAGCCTTGTCTGATGGAGAACTCCGCTACTCCCAGACTGAAAGGGAAGCCCTCGCTAGTGTGTGTGCCTGTGAAAAAATTCATCTATTCCTCTATGGAAAAGACTGTCAGTGCAAACAGCTGCTGAAGTCAAATTATCAGGCTGCAATATGAACCTGTATTTTTACTGTTGTCTGGTGTTTTTGGTGCTGTGTGTCCGCCTCTACCTCTGCCAAAGCTCACATGCTTACTTACACACACACACGTGCTACTGCTGAGCCTAGGCAGTTAGACACAGAAAGGAGCACACACACAGAGCTATAGTTTTAACACTGTGAACTTGACTTTAGCTGTCTATCTGGAATATATTGGTGTATGTTTTCACACACATCTGCTTAAAATCTGCCTCTACACAAGCTTTAACAAACCAAACACTTGTTCCCCTCATAGGCTGGCACATCTTCTCCTCATGCCTCCTCCATCAGTACCACTATGTTGCTGATCCTATGAACTGGACTGCAGCTCAGACCTACTGCAGAAAGACATACACAGACCTGGCCACCATTGAAAACACTGAAGAAATGAACCAACTTCTCAACACAGTTTCATCTTCTGGTCTCAGCTCTGATGTCTGGATTGGCCTGTACACTAAAATTAACTGGAGGTGGTCAGACGGCTACACAGAGACAGGAGCTGGATTTAGGAGCTGGGATAAAAATCGCAAAGAACCAGACTTTTACTCGGCTTGTCAGTTCTGTGTGAACGCTGGACAGGAAGGAAGTTGGTATGATAATAGATGCTCTTCAAAATTATCATTTGTCTGTTACAGAGGTAAGTATATAACATATAACTATTTCGATCTGGAATAAATATTATTTCAAAATTATCTGAACTCAACAATTCCCTGTTTTTAAAAATTACCTGCAGGAACTCAGCTGGACCCTGAATTTGTTTTTGTGAATGAAGCAATGAATTGGTCCAGTGCTCAGAGTTACTGCAGGGAGAACTTCACAGATCTGGCCACTGTGAGGAACAAGACTGAGAACCAGGAGATCGGGAACTTGGTGCTGAGTGGATATCTGACATGGATTGGTTTGTTCAGAGATCCTGACATTTACTGGTCTGATGGGAGTGGCTCCTCATTCTCATACTGGAACACAGGTTTCAACCCATTAGGCTCGATGAGTGTTGCATGTGGTGTTGCTTTGCAGAGTTCAGGAAGATGGAAGTTTCTTCCCTGTGAAACTAGATTACCATTTGTCTGCCACAGAGTCCCTGGTGAGTGGTTTACTGTGCTTCAGTGGAAGAGAGAGAATAACTGATGTTAAACTGCACTCAGACATGGTGCTCATTTACATGTATGAGTTTGGTATCACAAAGGTAATTCCACAGTATGTTGTTCTTCTCTGTGTTTACACACCAGTAAAGAGGCAGGCAGTAAAGCTGAGGATAAAGCTGGAGGACTCCTCTGTGGATCTGAATGACCCTGCTGTGAAAGCTGACATGTTGAAAAAGGTGAGTCTCCAAAATCCACCCTGAGACACTTGACCCATTGGGCCCATTGTTTTGTTTGGGTGGGTGTCTTTCTTGTTTCGCTGTGGATAGCAGATCAAACTAAAACTTGCTCTCAACAAACAATTTAGATTTGAGCAAATGTTTCAAAATGGCTGCCATTTGTGTTTCCCAGCTCCAGGACAGGCTGAAGGAGAAAGGAGTGAGTGGAGTCACCCTGAAGTGGAGAGAGCAGCCTGATGGGAAAGTCTTCCACAAGGAGGACAAGACTGAGCTCTAAAACTAAAATATAACTGTACTTCTGTTTCTCTGTAGTCCTTGGTGAATGTACTCTCTATCTGCTAATACACACAGTACACTATTATCACTGTACTGAGTGCTTAACCAGAACCCAGAATACATCCTGTAGACTGTCATAGGAGAGTTTTGTGTCTCATCAACAATATTACTGAGTGAAGTGTGTTAATGACATTTATTTATCTTCAAAATATAACATATAAAATGAGGTGTGGCTTTGGCTTAAAGTTTACAGTTTATGAACCAGATAAAACAATATTTACACATTTACATACAACAAACTTAACCTTCATACAGGGCTGGAAGGATAATGATATATCATACTGAATAATGAATGATGGTGTGAGTAAGCGCTGTACTTCAAACTGCACATGAGCTGAGCTCTTTCAGTCTGTGTGTGGGAATAAAGTGCTGGCATGTGTACATCCAGTCAGGTTGCTCTTGTGCTTCCTCTGTTTCACCTCACCTCATGTTAGTTTAATTGTCTTTTCAAGTAGACTGTACTAACTAGACTGAGTGAAATATATTTCCTTCACTTTTCAAATTTAGGCCCAAAACCTTGCCTACAGAATTTGGATTTTTTTATAAATAAATAAGCAGATGATGAAAAGATGGTAAAGAGTCCCATGTTACAGTTTTTCTCAAATGCTAAAACACAAAAGCCAATCCTCTAAACCAAATGACCAGTTGTCTAAACACATTTACTAAATCTAGCCATCATTTTCCAATATCATAAACACATTTCACATGAAGACACAATTCACAAAACACAATCCTCTGTTCACATAAATCTTAACACATTTTTCCTTGCTAAAACACAAGTTGCAAAAGAACTCTGCTCATATTCTCAAATGAAAGCTCATGTGATGCAAAATGCTTGCCACAGTCAGCAATATTTGAACAAAATGAACACACCTAGCGTCATTCATTACACACAACGACTCAAAATTGAAAACACCTGTTGCTAATGCTGTGACCACATGTATAAAAGCAAGTTCAGAGTGCACAGTTTGCTGAAGATTCCAAACAAACACAATGGATGAAGGCAGAGTCAGGGGAAGAGGTAATCGAGTCAGAGGAGGGAGAGGAGCAGGCCAGGGAGGAAGAGGAGCAGGCCAAGGAAGAAGAGGAGGAGGCCAACAAGGGAGAGGAGAAGGTCCAGGAGGGAGAGCAAGACAACCTCGCACCATCATTACGGACGAGATGCGAGCAACATCATTGACCATGTCATTGTCCATGGCATGACAATGGCTGAAGCAGGACTAAGAGTCCGTCCAAACCTGAGTAGGTTCACCGTGGCCACCATTATCAGGGCATTCAGACAACACAACAGGTATTGTACTCTATTGCTTTCTTTGTCACAATACCATTTTACAAGCCTGTGAAAGTAGTCTATTAGTTTCAAATCAGTTGTTACTGTATTGTAAAACATGTCAATTGACAACATGTTTCTTTCTTTAGAGTTGAAAGAATGCCACATAGAGGTGGGAGGGTTGCCATATTTACAGCGGCACAAGAAACCCTCATTGTGGATATGGTTCGTGAGAACAACCTCATCAGACTCCGGGAGATCAGAGACAAAGGCCACAATAGACCGAGTTCTCCGGCGCCAAAAGATGCGGATGAAACAAGTCTATAGGGTTCCCTTTGAGCGAAACTCTGCACGACACAAAGACCTACGTTACGAGTATGTGCATGTAAGTATACATCCATGTTCACAGTACAGTTAGTGAACATACTGTGTTGCTCAGTGGCCTACATTACTTCTGGACAATACTATGCTACCTGACTGACTGTTGTTCTGAACACCTGTGCACTTTCACATTTTCACAGAGGATATTACAGTTGGACGCGATGGCCAGACCTCATGAGTACCTCTTTCTGGATGAGGCTGGCTTCAACCTGCAGAAACGAAGGCAAAGAGGCCGTAACATCATTGGCCAAAGAGCCATCACTGAGGTTCCTGGCCAACGGGGGGGTAATATTACTCTTTGTGCGGCCATGGGTTTGGAGGGGCTTGTCCACCGGCAGGCTGTCCTTGGGTCTTACAACACCCAACGTCTCCTAACCTTCCTAGAGGAGCTAAAAGATATCCTCCTGGACCGCCAACAACACCATCCTGGGCCCGAACATCCCATTTATGTGATCATTTGGGACAATGTACGCTTCCACAGAACAAACCAAATCAGAGAGTGGTTCACCACCAACAGTAACCACTCTTTAAACGTCTGTCTGCCACCCTACTCCCCTTTCCTGAACCCTATAGAGGAGTTCTTCTCATCATGGAGATGGAAGGTTTATGACAGACAACCATACACTAGAGAGAACCTCCTAAGGGCAATGGAGCTGGCGCGTGTTGACATCCCAGTGGAGAACTTCCAAGGATGGATCCGTCATTCCAGGGCGTTTTTCCCACGGTGCCTGGCAAGAGACTATATAGCCTGTGATGTGGCCCGATGCAGCTCAGCGACATGATGCCGCACAGTGATTGTGGTGTAAATAAAACAAATAAAAAAAAACTTCACACCCTGATCATGTGTTCAAGAGTACTGTTGTGTGCAATAGATTCTGTTTTTGTATTGAGTTGTGTTACAGTAGTGTACAGAATTTACTATAGATTTATACTCTTCATATGAAACTCACAAATCTAAATGCCCAATCCTCTGCAGAGATCTAAGAAGATCCATTATTGTAAAGTTTCTAAAAATATGCATTGGCAGTTATGAAACAAAGAACCAACAAATTGAGCATTGTGTTTTCAATTGTTTTGCTGTAGTGTGTAATGATGTGTATAGTGTTTACATTTTTGAAAGCTTCGAGCTGCTCTTTTGGTGTGAAAGTTTGAGTTTTGAAGGGAGAAGGTGTGGTTGTGTTTATGTAGCTTTAGAAAAGGGTGTTGTGTTTAGACATTGGAGAACATGGACAAAACGTTTGTGAAATGTGTTTTAGCATTTGAGAAAAACTGTAACAACAGGTTTTCACTTCATCAAGACAGTTGTGTGATTACAGAGTGTGAGATTTAAAATACTGTGCATTGACATAACACCATATCCATTAAACTTAGGTTTAATTGCACTGAACAACAGTATTTGGCTGATGTCAGGCGCCCAAATAATAATTGTTTAAACCACTCACTGAGTTTGCAAAACTAAAAGCACAAACACTGCTTTGCACTCAGTTTGCAATTTTGTAACACACACTTTGCAAAACTGTAGGCACAATTCACTGCACAACACTCTTTTTCCAGAACTTTAAACACAACTCACTGCTTACACTCAATTACCAACTTTCCAACACACTCCTAGCAAAATTATACACATGTATGGCTATCATTAACACTATTTTGCCAACTGTCTGGCACACTTTCACATGTGAAAACTGTTTTAGATAATTAGTTCACTTTGCAATCAGCCTAAGCACTATAAATAAGCCACAGGTAAGCTGTCTGTGTGGAGTACAATGGAAGGAGCAGGAAGAGTGAGAATCAGAGGAGGCCGAGGGAGAGGACGTGGAGGTGAAGAAGATGGAGGAAGAGGATGTGGAGGTGAAGAAGTTGGAGGAAGAGGACGTGGAGTTGAAGAAGCGAGAGGGTTAGAGGAAGTTAGAGGAAGAGGACAAGGAGGAGCAAGAAGAGGACGAGGAGGGGAAAGAGGAAGGGTAAGAAGAGTAAGAAATAGAATAACTGATGACATCAGAGCTACAATAGTGGACCATGTCATCAACCATGGGATGACCCTGAGGGAAGCTGACCAACGGGTTCAGCCTAATTTGAGCCGCTACACTGTGGCAAGCATCATTAGGACATTTCGAAATGAGAATCGGTAAGTACTTTGTAGCACCGCCATACTCTAATGAGAAACACAACAGTACCATACATGCAAAAATACTGAAATTGTTACTCTACAGAATTTCTAGACGTCCACATGTTGGGGGCAGAGGAAGAATGTTCACTCCAGAGCAAGAGACCCATATAGTGAACATGGTGATTGCCAATAATGCAATAAGACTGCGCGAAATACAGCAGCGCATAATTGATAATGACACCATCTTTCAAAATATACACAGTGTAAGCATTTCTGCACTAAGTCGTGTACTTGCGCGCCACAGAATAAGAATGAAGCAAATTTACAGAGTTCCTTTCGAGAGAAACACAGAACGTGTAAAGCAACTGCGATATGACTATGTGCAGGTAAGCTATAGTGTCATTGGTTCTGAATTTGGAATTTTCTGATGTGTTGCATTTGTTTTGTCTTGTCCAGAGAGTGATGGAACTAAAAGCAGATGCCATGGGACATGAGCTACTTTTTGTAGATGAGGCCGGTTTTAACCTCAGTAAAACCAGGAGACGTGGCAGGAACATTATTGGACACCGTGCCATCATCAATGTCCCAGGACAACGTGGTGGTAACATAACCATGTGTGCAGCTATAAGCCAAAATGGTGTTGTTCACCATCATGCAACCATAGGCCCATACAACACTGCACACATTATTGCATTCCTGGACACCTTACATGACATGCTCACTGTTCAGAGACCAGAGCAGACCCGATATGTCATTATATGGGACAATGTTAGTTTCCATAGGGCTGCTTTGGTCCGCAACTGGTTTATAGACCACCCATTCTTCATGGCACTCAACCTCCCTCCATACTCTCCATTCTTAAATCCCATCGAGGAGTTCTTCTCTGCCTGGCGCTGGAAAGTGTACGACCGTCATCCTCATCAACAGGTAGCCCTTTTACAGGGAATGGAGGAGGCATGTGGAGATATTGACCAGGCATCATGTCAGGCCTGGATACGGCATTCAAGGAGATATTTCCCCCGGTGCCTTGGACTGGAGGTTATCGCATGCGATGTGGACGAAATTTTGTGGCCGGACCCAGAAAGACGACATGATGTAGGCTGATTGTTTTTTTTTTGTTTGTTTGTTTTTTGTGAAATTACTATTTTGTGTTCTGACTTTGTCTTGGTTTTGATGAGTGTGAATAAACACCAATACTTGAAGTTTGGCTCCTTGTATGTTTACATGACACTATGACAAAAGTATGACCTCAAATTGACATCTGTACACAGAGAAAGCAAAAGCCAGATGTGTTTTGTATTCATACCATCAGTGTGTAGTTGGCACATTGTGTGCTTAGTAGATGATGGCTTGTGTTTACTGTTTGATACGAAAACACCACTTTTACAAAGGTGTGAAGAGTTAATCTAGCTGTGTTTGCTTTTGCAAGAGAACTACAATGTTTTGATAATTGGGTGAAAGGTTTTCTTATTTGTGTGTAGAGTTTTGCAAAAATAGCCAATAGTTACAAAAAATGTGCTTAAGCAATCAGAAAGAACTGTACAGTTTTTTCCAACCACTTACACATGTTTTGAAAACTATATCTCTTTTTTTCAAAACTCTATTGAAATATATGACTATATTGAAATAACCATTAGATAGTTGCAACCTGTAATTTCTGAAGGTTCAAATTATGGATGCCAATGTAAAGCAACTCAAGTTGGACTTGACTCTCAGTCCAGATTTCTCATGGTCAACCAGTGGTTGATCACGTGATCAATAAGTGTGGCACTGAACTCATCAGTGATGGCTCTCCTTCCTTCTCTTCTTTGCCTTCGTCCTCCTCTTCCTCCAACTCTTCCTCCTTGAACTCTTCCTGCCTCTCCCTCCTACGCCCCTTGTTCTCTATCCATTGTTGGCCTCCATTGTTCAAAACAGGTCTGACCTTTGACCTATGGATAGGTATATATCATCTGTGTCTCTTCTTAACATATTGGGTATCCAGCATCTGTTTATCTGAAACCCATGGTCAATGTGACTGTGAACCTGCTCTACATAGCTTGGCTCTGCATCTGTGTTTGTTGTATATCTGACAGTCCTCTCCTCTGTGACAGGCATACTTAGACATAAGTTAATGAATCTCCTGACAAACAACTCTGGTGATTCTTGGTTTTGTGGCTTGGTGGAATTTTTCTTTAGACGTTCTGAGGTCAACAGATTACACCATGATTTTAATACAGATAGCATCAAATATGACACTCACGCATAGATTTACAAACCTGTGTCAGATGACTTCTAATGAAGAGCTCTGCCACTATGAGGTTTTATTGTCCAGACAACAAAAGATGTTTTCCAGTGAGCAGTAGAAACATGTTTAAAATGAAAATGTAACCACGCAGATTTTGAATAAAGAGCACAAGAGACCTGTGGCCTTAATCACTAACAGACAAGAGGAACTGATCTTGACTTTCCCCATATTTGCCTAATGGTTTCAATAATATCAGAGTTTATATTTAGTGCCGTACATCGACAGTCCACAGAGCAGCACGATGATGGAGAGGATCTTACTTGGTGTCTTGTTTCTCTCAGGTCAGTGAATTATTTTTTTATGTCTGTCTGCTTATTGTATAATACGCTAATACTGAAATACTAAATAAGTCACATGAGTTGGGCTAACACAGATTGAATAAATGTTTTAAATATATTTTTTCACTGGGACCATGATTAAAAATCTGCCGGCAGTGGAGGAAGAATTCAGGTCCTTTACTTCAGTAAAAGCAATGTAAAAATACTCTATTACAGGTAAAAGTCCTGCCTTTGCCTTCTAGTATTGATGGGGTTACTGGATCTAAAGATATTGTTGAATTATGGAGAAAACGTTATAGAAATATATTTAATTGTGCTAAGAGTGTGGAATTTAATGTCGTTGATATTCCTAACAATGATGGTGTGGTTATTAGAACTAATGAAGTGTGCCATGCCATTGAGAATTTGGCAGGGAACAAAGCATGTGGCCTTGATCAAATAAATGCAGAACATCTATAAAATGCAAGCCAAAGGAATTCAGTGCATGGCATTTTACCTGATTCTATGTTGTCTGTTTTATTGGTGCCACTGGTTAAAGACAAAACTATCCAGCATAGATAATTATAGACCAATTGCCCTAGCTAGCATACTGTCCAAAGTATTAGAACAGATTCTCCTAGATAGGCTTCAAGGATACATAATAACCACTGATAATCAATTTGGTTTTAAAAGTAGGCACAGTACAGATTTGTGTACCTATGCATTGAATGAGATTGTAAATACTAACAAAAGACAGAACACTACAATATTTACGTTAGTTTTCTTGATGCGTCCAAAGCATTTGACCAAATTAATCATGGTATATTGTTTGGTAAACTATAAGAGTGAGGGTCCCTCCATTGTAGGACGGATTGTGGGAATAGTCTTATTAACCCTCTGATGGACACTGATGATCTGGCCGTCCTGTCTCCTTATAGTGCTGGCTTGCAGCAACAGCTCAGAGTCTGCTCAAATTATTGTGTGCAGGATGATATCAAATTTAACCCTAAAAAAGTGTTATTATGATTGCCAAAACCAAGGAGGATCAGAAACAAACCTATCCTACTTTTTATTTGGCAGACCAAGTGTTACATGTGGTGAATAAAGTAAGATATTTGGGACATATAAGCAGGGATGATTTATGTGATTGTGACGATGATATGCAACGCCAGTGT